TTTTTTTCTACTTTTAAAGCACCCTATTTTAATATTTATTTTGTCCTACAGCTGATAATATATCCTTAAATATTTGATAATTATGTTGTGGGTTTTTTTTGGTGGCTTTTTATATGGAAAATATTAGTACACAAAATAACTTTAGCAAGCTCTGCTTAAAATAATATACTAGTACCAAATCTCCAGTAGATTATATAATTTCTAAAGTTCCTTTCAATTTCAAAAGTTGGTGATTGCTTCAACTGGTAATAAAAGCAGCTAGAGAGAGCTGTATACATTAGGACAAATGTGGACTCAAAAATTGTAGTTAAGCAGAGCACAGAGGCTTATGCCTATACCCCTAGCACTTTAGGAGGATTGCGTGAGCCCAGGAATTTGAGACAAACCTGACCAACATAGCAAGACCCTATCTCTACAAAAGATACAAAAAAATAACCAGGTCTGGTGTCATTCTCCTGTAGTCCCAGTTGCTCAGGAGGCTGATTCTGGAGGATCTCTTGAGCCCAGGAGTTTGAGGTTGCAGTGGGCTATGATGATGCACCATGGCACTCTAGCCCTGACAACAGAATGAGACTCTGACTCAAAAGAAAAAAAAAAAAATTGTAGGTAATAAAAGAGGATCAGAAGATACAAGAGTATAGTAAACATTGTTGTAGGTAAATACTAAGAATTCCAAGAACAGTGTTCTGTTGTGAAGTCCAGTGACTGGGAAGTTTATTCATGCTATTTGGGCAGTGACTCTGCTGAGTTGCAGTTCTGCATTGCCACATTGATTCTTTTCATCAGATGAAACTCAACATGCTTATCTCCCCTAGAAGGTCCACTTTGGCTCTTTCTGTTAATGACTCTGTCATTCTCTTATTCACCCAGAATGAGGAATCCTTCATGACCTTCCTTCATGACCAATCCTTCTTTACTTTGTCACATACAATCAGTTGCCTACAAATGACCTTACTTTCTCTTTTCTTACCCTGCCACCCACCACTTGGTCCCCCTCTCTCAACCCCATTCTTTTTTTGGTCAAAAACTTATTCTTAATGCCGTTGTACATTCTACCTTAATATTCTCAACTTCTTAATATTTCTCAGGTACATTCTTACTATTCTCAACTATAACATCTTTGATTTCATAGCATTGTAGTACTGATTATACTACTTTGGTGCTTCATTATTACCCTTTTACTTTTTTGTTGGTGATATTACCAGACTGTATACTTTTTGAAGTTAAATACCATGTCCTTTACATTTTGTATCCTCTCCATTGCTGACTTTGTTCAGTGCATTTCACATATAGGTCCACAATGCCTTACCTGAAGTTCCAAAATCCAAAATGCTCTAAAAACATAATTTTGTTTTTTATTTGTTTCTGTGAGTTTGATATTATACTCACTTGGCAGCAAAACCTAAGTTGACATGACATGAGGCTATTTATGTTTTATTACAAAAATTGCCAATTTGTAGATTAGAAACAGTTCAGTAGAAGCGGTTTCATATGGTTCACCTTTAATTTTTATTTAACCTACTTAATGCAAATATTTATACATTTTGGTATAAAATATTAATGAGCGTTATCGTAAGAGTATGGTTGTGATTAATGGAAATGATAAACAAATGATCAGTAATATGTCAGGGGCATCCTTATGATGCAGAGTCTCTAAATTCTGATGGAGCCTGAGGATTTAAAACTTTGTTGACCAAAAGTCTTGATTTGCGTAAGGCAGTACCAGTTTATAGTTGTTGTCTGAGTGTAGTAATTAATAATGTTCCCCTTTCGTTTGTAAAAGAGTCCTGATTTGAACAATAAATTACGTGGTCACCCTACCTAAGGTAGATATCCCTGAAACAAATGCCTCTATTATGGTAGGTGGCTTTAATTAAGGATGAAAGTTTTCAGTGTTATGGTGTAGCTCTGTTGTTCCTGATCAGGTAGTTAGATGTAGAAAACTCTTCTAATCCATTATCAGGAGACAGGTGCACTTAAAATTGCTGGGAAGTTGAGATCTTTGTTTTTTTTTTATTTGGAAATACTTGAAGTAACAGTTACAAAGGTAAAGAAGCTGCTGTGATGGGCATGGTAGAAATACCTTTTGATTAAGAAAACAACAACTACAAAACAAAATGCAACTACAGTTTGAGAGTTCCTTAATTGATAGTATATGTAAAGATGGCTTTTTCTAGAATTATTAATATCTGAGATGTAGGCAAGGATGAAAAGCATTCCTGCCTTTTGCCCCAGAATTAACATAGCCTAGCTGGATAAATAGGAAGTGCTTTGAGAATGAAACTAATTCAAGGCAATATTTTAATTTCACAGCTCCTCCATTCACAGTCCTAAACCTAAGATTCTTACACCTGTATTGATTCTGGAACTTCAGTGTTGTTAATGATGGCATTGGTCCTTGTGACCATCAAGAACCAAGGATATCCCTGGATGGGCTCTCCCTGCCTTTCTGGGGTCTATTTGGCTAGTCAGTGATACAGGAGCTATATTCTTTTTTTTTTTTTTTTAACTTTTTAATTCTCAATTTATTCTTACATTGGGAAAAATACTGTGTTCCATATAGGTTAGTTTGTTTAATTAAAATTTCTTGTTTCTTGATTCTTTTACATATAAAATTACACATGGAAAAAACATGTGAAAAGGGATGTTAGGATTTGAGTATAAGATGAGGGTTTATAGTAAAAGCTAATCTTTTACATAACTTTTGGGACTACCTTGAACCCTACTAAAGTATTATATTTCTTCAATCATTCTAAATTTCATAAGGAATGTAATTTTTCTATGTTTATTATATTTAAGTTGTATGCATTGTTTTTCTTTTATTTTTAATTATATAGGTAATATACACTAATTGTAAAAAATTCTTGCAATGTATAAAAGACACAGGTATAATCTTTCACCCTCATTATACTCTCCTCTCCAAAGGAGCCACTTCAACATTTTAGTATTATTTTCTGCTAAAAAGTTATATGCCTTTTTGAGCAAAGGTCTATGACATGATTATGAACCATTAAAAAAAAATTTCATCCATTAGATTTTCAGGCCTTAGCATAATTTTCAATTGCTCAAAAACATGTTGATGTTACTCGATTTATATCTCATTTATTTTTCTGTAAGTAGATACAACTCTTCAAAAATATAGTTAATTCCCCAACTTATATGTCGTTCTTCAAAAACATCAACCTTCTCAAGACAATGAATATTGCATATTGTACCAAACAATCTTTTAATTTCAGCAGCTGGAACATAAAACGGTGGGCCTGGATGTTTAGTTGGATCGTAAGACAAAACAGCCAGGAGGTACTGAAACCCTTTTCTCAGGAGGGACAGCATTGTATCTGCGTAGCATTCACGATCACCAGGATTAATGGCAACTAATGCTCCTCTATCCCAAATCCTGTCAAATTTGCCAATATTTGTTCTGGGAAGATCAAAAATGTTGCAACAGTACAATGAGATGTTCTCTGAAGAACTCTTAAATATTTTGGCTCCAGGAATTTCTGTGATTGGTTCTTCTGAGTAAGAAGGATTCTGCTCTGTAAAAAATTCTCGTATCCCAAGTTCACTGATTTCCACACCAACTACACTGTGTCCCAGGTCTGCAAACCATTTCATCTCCACTGCTTTTCCGCAAAGAGGAAAAAATACCCTCAGTCCACTCTCGCCTTTAAGAAAAGTATCCAAGTACTTCTTTAATAGCTGATGTCCTTGTTCTTGATGAAATGCAATTTTGCGGTTCACCCACTTGTCTTGCCATTCTTCCAGAGTTAGTACTTGCTTTTTCTGTACCTCAGTATCAGGGTACTCTTTAATATCAGGCAAAGTTTTTGTATTATCCATAGTTTTGTAGATATCTTTGTCTCACAAGGATATGTATCCAAAGCCTGCCTCACAGCGGGCTGCCCACCACTACCTCCAGCGCGGGGTCCTCAGCCCCGCCCCGCCTCAGCCCCGCCCCCTGCACGCAGACCCAGGAGCTATATTCTTTAAAGGAGTAGAGCTCTCCACATGGTGGCAGGGAGGGTGGGGCAAAGAATGATTAAAATGAATCCTAGGACCAGCTTAAAAGTACTAAGTAGTAATGGGGAATCACAGTGAGGTAGTCGAAAAAAAGTTTGGAAAGGTAAAGGATGTAAGCCTTATTTAGTTGGCTTTTTCCCCCTCTCTGTACATGTCAGGTTTCTAGTGGCAGTGATCCTTGGATGGGGGAATTGGTGGGGGGAAGCTACCTTCTTTGATATTTATTTTCTTAGGAAATCTCTTTCTTTACAGTGGCCTTTGAAATGTGTTGAAATGCTGCTGTACACAATTGATCTTTCAGTAACTGGTGATGGGCTGGTTTTTGATATAAATCTTTCTCATTGAAATTTGGCTCTTCAGGCTAAAATATGGATCCAAAGTATAGGACTCATTTTTTTAAAGTTGTCAAAATTGTTATTGTTTTCAAAATTGAAAAGCCCAGAAACAATTACTTGAAATATGAGGAAGAAAAATTATTTTTCTCCTAACTTTAATGAAGCATTTTTTTTCCCTTGGCAGAATGAAATTAACACTGAAAATATAGTCAGCTCCATA